TGATTCTATAGATGAAAGTGCAGAATAAGCATGATTTCTATGTGTGAAAAGTGACACGAAATTCAAGAAAAAACTCCTATAGGCAGGATATCTACCCTTATGCATACACAGATAACCACCCCTTTTTATAAAACCCCATAAGTATTTCAAAAATTATTACAGACCAAATGAATCAAACAGAGAATAAAATTACATCAGAGCTTTTAAGCTGCATCCAAGGAGCCTAATTCAGACCCAAGGTCTAACAACATGATACGAGCCAACTGCCAGGATCAAGTTCCAAGGCCTTTCTCTTATCTGGAATGTGTCAAATTTCCAAGGAGTTTCAAGAACTCCAGGCAATGCTTACACCCAGATATCATTACAGAACTGAATTAAAGTGCAGTGTGTTAGGGCCAGCCCTCCAATGTCCAAGTTCAGAGGGAACTCAAGGTCCCAAGGCAAGGCTCATTGGAGGGGGGCAGAACATAGAATCTAGGAACAAGTGTAAGTGTAATAGAGGGAATTAAGGGATGCTAAGGCAGGCTGGTGGTCATGCCCAGCAACATAGAATGCTGGCACACCCCTGACCAGCCCACTAGCCAAACATTAGAGAGTCAGGACCTATTGAAGGTAAAACCATGGCCTGGGCAGTAATTGGGATACTGTCAGGCCAAGGTTTCAACTCGACACATAAAGGGGATTAGGGGTAGGGATTCATATGAGAACAGAAGCAAAGAAAGGAAAAATACTTAGCATAAGTTACGAAGCATCAACAGCAAACCACACAAAAGAATGAGACTACAGAATAAACACATAGGGATGAGGCAAAAGTTTAAATAAAGGCATACCAGTTTCAGAAAGAGACAAGAAAAAGAGAGCAGAAGTCTTGCAAAGAAGCCACAGCACAAACAGCAAGAGAGAATACTTTGTGTGTGAGTGTGAGTGCAGAAACGACTCCAGTGTTCGTGTTTTTGTTGTGTTGGGTGTTAATAAAAGAGCAGGTATTTATAGTGTGAGAAACATGCAGAAATAAGGTAAGGACTGTAATTCAGACATAATTGGAGGAATATGTGTCTTATTAAAATCAAATCAGTATCAAAGACTTCCTTTAATAAAGCAATTAAACCAAACGGTAGCATGCAAGTGTTAAATAAGGAAAGAAATCACGCAGGGCTGGACATGACAAATAAGGAAATATTTTCAGCACAGTACGAGTATACCACATGTATTAGGGGTTAAGTTCATTAGACCTTAATTAAGGAAAGGCCTGTAAGAATCCCATACTAATGTAATTAAGGTAATGGGATCAAATCAACTTAAGTAGAAAGGCGGGGTCGAAAGGAAAATATTTCAACAAGTCCAAGAAACAAAAGAAATCAAAACAATAAAGGAAAGAATCAGTTCAAGAGTGCAATCAAAGTTACACAAAGAGATTTGAAATCAGTCCACAATCAAGGTTATTTTGAGAGGGAAATTTGACGTATAAAGAGTGCATAAACATTAAGCATGTGGAGGCTGGATTTAAGACAAAGAAGAGTGTCATGCAATCAAAGAAAATCAGTGAGTAGAGGACCATAGGAACATGGTAGTCATCTCAGAGAAGAGGGAATAGCATGCGAAAGGTCAAGTAAAGAGGTCAGAATCGTATGAAGAAACAAAGTTGACACAAAGATTTCGAAACTCAGTCGAACACTAGAGGAAACAACTTCAGGAACTCAAATAGGTCCAAAGAGACTAGGGTTTTGAAATCAACACTTGCAGAGATAAGAAACAAATAAATCACATAACAAATAATCTCAAAACTCGAGTGAACCCCAAATTCTAGGGTTTTTCACCATTAATCGAGTCTAGAGATGAAGACAAGTAAGTCAAGCAAAAAGAAAATATTAACGGAATAAGTGCAGAAATCATAAAGGAACACGTATTTCCCAGTAGAAGAAAAACATAATAAAGAACAATCATGCAAAAAATACGGTAAGAACTCGTAAGAACAAGGTAGAAGAAACACAGTAGAAGAAGAAGCACATAAGGATCATAGAAGAAACATAGTAGAAGAAACATATAAGAATCACAGTAGAGCATGTTAAAAAGATCAAAGAAACCCTAAATCGGGGAAGATGAAAAGGTTAAAAAGCAAGTTTTGAAAGAAACTTTTGAGAAAACATTTGAGACCCCAAGATAAACACAGATCTAGGATAGATCTAGAGAAATCAGAAGAACCTCGAAAGTTTGGGGTTTCAGAAGAAACCTAGAAGTGAGAAAGGCCTGGAAAACTCGTGGATCTAAGCCGGAGAAGTTAGACTCAGGCTCGAACGTCCACGATATGCCGGAGTAGAGCTGGAGACGACCATGGAACCCTGAATCGAAGGAGATCTGGGTAGAGATCTTCAAGGTCAGGCCTTGAATCTTCAGAAAACCGGTGTATAAGAGCACCAGAGGGTGGGCGTGAGATCCCCATGGCTTTGGTGGCCATAGATTTCGGTGGATCTCTGGTTTGAGACGGCAAGAGGTGGCTAGGGTTTGAGAACCTTTGAGAGAATTTGAGAGAGTGGAGGGTTTCAGAGGTGGCGGCTGAGGAGAAATGAGGTAGGGTAAGGGGTCGTTTGAATTAAAAAAAGGAAAGGGATGAGGGGAGCCGTTGATCTAATGGGTTAAATGGGGACCGGGTTTGGGTATGATAGGAAAGGGTATGGGTCGGGTTACAATAGAATCGGTTCGTTTGATTAGGGTGTGATTGGGGGTCCAATTTGGGCTAAAACTGAAATACAAAAAGGGTTGTCATTTAAATAGCCAGTTTTCCCCTTTTTAATTTATAAAAAATAGTAAAAAAAAATGACTTGAAAATAAATTAAAGGTACTGGACCAATTAATAACATATAAATATTAATATAAAAATACTAAAAGTGATTTTATAATTATAGAATGTCGTTAATCGTAAAATAGGCTATAATTACAATTATATGCAATTAGCTTAAAAATACCAAATAAATGTATAAAAATATACAAAAATTACCCCAATTATATCTTAGGGTAAATATGAGAATGAAATAAATTATTCACTAAAAATGCTAGTTTGGGAATAATTATTGAATTTTGTAGTATTAAAATAGACAATAAATTGGTTTTAAAATATTAAAAAAAATAAAGGAAAAATACCAAAACTTTGTGGCATGCTTATATATGCCTGTACATGCTATTTTGAAAGTATTTTGCATATATAAAAATATAGGAAAAAATCGGGTATCAACAGAGGAGCCATGCGATACGGAGGAATGGAAATGGGCTGAGTGCCCGGCAACAGATCAATGCCAAAATCAATGTCTCTATCCGGCGGCATGCCCGGAAGATCAGCTGGAAACACATCGGGATAATCCGGTACCACTAGAACTGAATCAACAGAAGGGGTATCAACACTGACATCTCTCACATAAGCTAAGTACGCGGCACACCCTTTCTCAACCATACGCCGAGCTTTAAGGAAAGAGATAACTCTACTGGGAGTGTGACCTAAAGTACCACTCCACTCAACACGTGGAATACCTTGCATAGCCAGTGTCACGGTCTTGGCGTGACAATCAAGAATAGCAAAATGGGGTGACAACCAGTCCATGCCCAGAATAATGTCAAAATCAACCATACCGAGTAACAATAAATCCGCTCTGGTCTCAAAACCACGAATAGTAACCAAACATGACCGATAAACGCGATCCACAACAAGAGAATCCCCCACAGGAGTAGAAACATAAACGGGGGCACTCAAAGAATCCCGAGCCACACCCAAATGCGGAGCAAAGTAAGAAGACACATAAGAATAAGTAGAGCCCGGATCGAATAGAACCGATGCCTCTCTGTGACAAACCAGTATAATGCCTTTAATGACGAAGTCGGAGGCAACAGCCTCGGTACGAGCAGGAATAGCATAATATCTGGCCCGACCCCTCTCTCGAGGGCGGCCTCTATCTCCCCGACCCCCGCCCCTAGCCGGCTGGGTAGGTGGGGTAGCAACTGGAGCTGTGACCATGGCCTGAGAACTCTGAGGAGCACGCTGTGGCTGAGTAGTCTGTGGGGGTGCACTCCTCCCAAGTCTAGGGCAATCCCTCACCACATGGCGGGTGTCACCACACTCAAAACAAGCTTTGGGAGGGCGCGGTGGCTGTGACTGGCTCGGGCCAGATCTGCTGGACTGGCCTTTGAAAGCACCCCGCGCAGGAGGCGCGCTAGAAACTGGAGGTGCATAGTAAGGCTCCTGGGGTATAGGCGGAGCTGGAGCACTGCTAGCTGCTGGGAGAGCTGAATGAACGGGGCGACCCGCATAACCTCTGCCATAACGACCTGCTGCTAGGGTACGGGCACCAGAGTAGTGGCCCCACTCTCGAGACCTCTTGGCCTCTCTCTCCACTCGCTCCCTGGCGAGCATACCCTCGATCCTCCTAGCAATGCTCACTACCTGCTGATAAGGAATGTCCATCTCCAACTCTTGAGCCATGCTAGATCTGATGGGTGGGATAAGACCCTCAATGAACCTGCGAACTCTCTCGCGAACTGTAGCAACCAAAGCCGGTGCATGCCTGGCCAACCTGGTATAACGGATAGCATACTCCGAAACGGTCATAGCAC